GCACAGCAGCGGTACCGGTACGGGCACCACCTCCCCAGGCTGGTACCAGTAGGAGAATGGGCAAGGCCGGGGCACAGCTGCCAGCGCTGGCACCGGCAGAGCAGGGTGCAGGCGTAGTGCCAGTGGGACTGGTCCCAGCACCAGCACGGCGCTGGTCCCGGCCCAGCACCAGTGCCAGCAGGCGCTCTCTCCCTTGCAGGGCTTTCTTCTGGCTGGTGTCGCTGCTGCTCTCCTCCCTCATCTGGTTTATCGCGGTTAAAGCCAGTGACCCCCGCGATGAGCCACTGCAGAAGGGGCTCTTGATATTTGGGGTGATGTTCTCCGTGCTGCTGCAGGAGGCCTTCCGCTTCCTCTACTACAAGCTCCTCAGGTAAAAGCCAACTCCCACCCGGCTCCGGCGCTGCCGGCGGGGTCCGACCCAGTGTGGCGGGTGCCTAATTTCGGCTGGGAGCTCCTGGGGAGGTGGGGGGGATGCCAAGCCACCGTGGTCCTCGCGGGTGGTACCTGGTGGGGCAGAGCAGCCCTAAGGACGCAGGGCTGAGGTGGCTGGTAGCATCTCCCTGAATTCGGGGCGGGTAGGCTGTGGGTTTGGGCTGCTGCGGGTCCTGTCACACCCTCACTGCCCCTGCTGACTAGCACCAGCAGCTCGGGTTGGGGGGGGTGGGGGGGGACAGACGCCAGGTGGTCGGGGCAGAGAAAGGTTAGGGATCTGCCCTCATCTCCTGGGAAGTCTCGTTCTTCCCTTAGCGGTGGTTTTGTGTGAGCAGGAACAGCCTGGAGGTGTTTTTTAGGGCGACACATCTCCGCCAGCCCCGTGCTCGGTGCCCCGGGGCAAAGTCTCGGCGCAGCCTCAGCAGCTCCCAGCCTCCCTGGCACCGCCGGCCCGGAGCGAGCGTGCGCGGCACCCCGTCCTGTGTTCGGACAGACGGACGGACGGACGGACGCTGCGCTGGGGCTGGGGAAGCGGTGCCGGGTTCGGCATCCCTCCCACCCGCACCCCCCAGCCTCCCCGGGCGCGGGCGAGGGGCCGGGGGGGAGGGCGGGTACGCAGGCTGGCCCAGCTCCCTGCGGCAGGGCGCTGCCGGAGGCGGGCAGGCAGAGGGTAGCAGAGCTCCGCGGAGCAGCCTCCGACGCAAACTGCCAGATTTCGGCTGCCCTGCGGATCTCCGGTCGCAAGGGCTGCTGTCCTCCCCAGCCTGAGGAGCTGTCTTGCGCCCGCCACACCGCTAGCTGATAAAAACGATGAAGCCCACCTCTCCCAGTTTCCCTCCCTGAAGATTTTTCCCTAGCTCTTTCAGCTCTTCCCTTGCAACCCCTCCATTTTTTTTTTTTTATTTTTTTATTTTTTTCAACGTCTTCTAAAAGTAGAAATGCGAAGATCAGGTACACCCTCCCGGCAGGCGCCTCCCACGCCTGCACTGGGGCTGCCTTCCGTGCGGGGGTGCTGCTTGCTTTGCACCCGATGTCCCACTCGCCTTGCAGGGCTGGCTGACGCTCACACTCCCCTGTGGAAAATCTTTCCCCGTCGCTTCGCGTGTTTTTCACACGCGTGGTTTGTCTGGTGGCTCAGGGCAGTCACGCGGATGCTCTCTGTGGTGGGTGTTGCAGCCCTGGGATGGGATGGTTACCAGGAGAGTGGGATGGTGCAGAGTGAGACCCCGGTCCCATCTGCTCCATCCTGGTGCTGCACCCATGGCTTGGGAGGTGGCTGTGCTGTGCCGGGCTCCAGCGTGCTCTCACCCCACAGGAAGGCCATCGAGGGGCTGGTGGCCCTCAGCGAGGACGGCTGCTCCCCCATTTCCATCCAGCAAATGGCGTACGGTGAGTGCTGCACCCCGGCCGCGGGGCCGGGGACAAACCCAGACAGGGCTGGGCATGGTGCCGGAGGGAAAAGGGTTTTTTTCTCACACTGAAGCTGGCTGGGAGGTGCCTGGGGTGGCCCTGGGAGGCTCAGGGCCTGACAGTGTCCCTCTCCTGACAGTGGCTGGTGTGGGATTTGGGCTCATGAGCGGCGCCTTCTCCATGATCAATCTCCTGGCAGACGCCTTAGGGCCCGGCACTGTGGGCATCCACGGGGACTCGCAGCTCTACTTCCTGACCTCAGGTGAGCCACCGGCACCCTTCGCCCGTGTCTCTGCCCCACCGCAGAGGCGGCAGACCCAGGGAGGCTGGAGTCTGCTCTCCATGCTATCACGCCTCATGCTGCACCCTCTACCTATTGGAGCCCCTTACAGTCCCCTGTTGCATCTCTCTGTGCCAAACTCTTCTTTCTGGCCCCCTGTAACCTTCCCTACTCCTTTCTCCCATTCCTCCCACGCTCTGGGTCTGCCCCAGAACCTCCCAGTCCAGCCCAGCAGTGCCCCTACTCCCCTTTTCCAGCTCTCCTCCATCCCCCCGCAAGCCTGCAGGTTAGGTCAGGGCGGGTGGTTCACTGGTGACACTGCCACTTCCTGCAGCTTTTATGACCATGGTGCTGATTTTCCTTCACACCTTCTGGGGAATCCTCTTCTTCCATGGCTGTGAGCATCGGCGCTGGTGGGAGATCACGGCGGTCGTTGTCATGCACCTTGCTGTTTCGGGGTCGGTGAGTAGCTGGGAGCAGAGCTCTGCACTGGGACCTGTATTTGGGGATGGTTGCGGTGCGTCCTGGTCCCTGTGCCAGGGGAGGGGAACAGCCTTTGGCACTAGCAAAGCAGTTGAGTTTGGGAGACTTGCAGCTGGCCCTTCACAAACCGAATCCTGGGGCCGGCGTCCCCTGTCCTGCTCCACTTGTCAAGGTGGTGATGCTGTCCCTGTCCTCTCAGGCCTGCTCACCCCTCTCCTCTCCCACCTCTCTCCCCAGACATTTTGCAACCCCTTGTACGTGGGCAGCCTGGTGCCCTCCTACCTGCTGATGGCCACTGCTGCTGCCTGGGCTTACCTACTCTCGGGGGGATCTGCCCAGAACCTGCGGCGCTTCCTGCTCTGTAAGTCCCACTTCATAAAGGGGATAGGGGACCCTGTGGGTCCCTCTGGGTACCAGGACTGGCGTTGGGATGGGGAGACAGTGTCCCCATGGTTGGAACAGGGGCATCATCCCCTTGGCTGCCAGACTGGAGGAGAAGCTGGGTTTTGGGGCTGTAGTTGGGTTGTTGCCTCTCCTGGGGGAAGTGGATGGGGCAAGGAGTCTGATGAAAACTGACGGCTCTCTCCTCCTGGTTCCTGCAGGTCTACGGAGTGGCCCCAGCCCCCAGCCGGGATCCTGAGGCCCTGTGGGATGTTCCTGTCCCCAGCCACCCCTGCCCTCCCCTCCATCCTGGCGGCAAGAGCGGCCGTTACCTTCTCTGCAATATCTTTTCTCCTGGACTGGGGGACCCTGGCCAGTCCCAGTGGGGCAGGTGCTGGGGTCCGTCTGTGGCAGCCAGCCAACCGGCATGGCTCGCTCCAACACCCCTTTAGGAGCCCCCAGAGAACAACTCAGTTTTGGGGGAACCCGGCTTTGCTGGCCTCGCTGCAAGCGGAGCCCCGGTTAGCCTGCCTGGGAAGAATGCTACCTTGCACTGCCGGAGGCCTGAGCCCAAAGAAACCCATTGCTTCTCCCCCCGCCGCAGAAGATGTGCTGTCCCTTGTGCCGGGCGGGGGGGGCCCCCGCATTGCCTCCTCGCTGTAGGGTGGAGGAAGCGGCTTTGCAAAGCGCTGCCGCGCTCTGGGTTGGGGCTGACCGCTGTGGTGCTACTTTCTCCGCCTCTTCGCCCAGCCCTGCTGCCCCGGCAGCCGCAGCCCTGGCCCTGGATCTGCGGTAGCTGCAGGGAGCGGGCAACCTGGTGCGGGGAGGACGGTGCCTGGGGACCCAAGGGGCCTGACCAGCACCTAGGATGGGGAGAGGATGGGGAAGACAGCACCCAGAGGGTCCAGCGGAACCGGAGGGTGGTGGAGGGCTCAGGAGGAGATGCAACCCCGCAGCTGGTGCCGGCACAGTTTGGGGAGGGTGTTCAAGGGGCCATTCTAGGGGATCATTGCCCTCTCCTGCACTTGGGGATTTTCAGGCGGGCACCAGCCCTGATGCTGTGCCACAGGGCTGGGAGGGAGAAACTGCCGTCAGGCTCAGAAGGCAGTTTTATCCGCAGTGGGCTTTTGTACCAATAAAAAGAAGTAGCACAGACAAGCAGAACTGTGTGTAGCCAGCAGTGCTGCCCTCGTGGGGAGGAGGGTGCAAGCACCCTGCAGCAGTGGTGGCAGGGGCTTGTGCTGCTGTGACTGGCACTTGCAGACCCCTGTTGTCTGGAGGTCTTGCTCCTACTCCATCCATCCTAACAGGGGCTGGGCTCTAGTTTTACTGCTTTGGGGTGGAGGCTGGTGAGAGCTGGAGACCTGCAGGTTCCTCCCCGCTCCTGGACCTGGCCTGTTTCTCTTGGTTTTGGCATGGCCATAGAACTCCCTGGGGTCACCAGGAAAGGGGGGAGGCAGCTGTGGATCTGGGATCACTCCAGCTACGGTAGAGCCAGAGGGCAGTTGGGAGGGGGCTGGTCAGTGAGGAGGTGGAAGCTCTGCCACCTTCACCTCTGCCTTTCTCCATCCCTACCAAGCCACGGCTATGTTTTTCCAATACTTTGCACAAATAAGAGGAGGAAGAAGTCCCAGAGCGATGGAGCGCAGGGCTGGGCTGTGCAAGGAGCCCTGCGCTGCTTGCTCTGGAGCTATGCCCGGGGCACGGAGGCCAAGGCTGTTTCTGCTGCTCAGGAAGGAGTCCCTGCGTGCCCCTCTCTGCTGTGGGTCCAGCTCCACTGGTGCTTTCCTGCCTCACAGCTTCATACAAGGACAGCAGAGAGGGATGGCACCATGGGAGCCTTTTACTTTTTTTTTTTTTTTTTCTTTTTTTCCAACACGCTTTTACCTTTTTTTTTATAACAAAAATATCTGCTGGGGCTAGATGCTGCCCCAGGCAAACAGTCTGTGTGGGCAGCCTGTGCAGCTGAGGGATGCTGGAGCACTGGCCATCCTTCGGCCCGGGGGAGCAGTGAGGGGAGGTGGGTGGCAGGCTGAACACTGCAGAGATGTGGGGCTCACGCAGTGTTCTCGGTGGTGGCTGCCGTGTAGATGACCTTGGATTTGGTCGGTGAGTCCAGCCTGGTGGGGGAGGAAGCAGGGCGGAGTGTTAGAGCAGGCTAATCCATCTTGCTGCCCAAAGAGACCCCCACCCTTAACCCCCTTTTTCACGCCCCAGACCTGTGCCACCCCCTGGGCCCCCTCCTGCAGCTCCCTATCGCTCACCGTGTGTTCTGGCTGCGGTGCTTGTAGATGTACAGCAGGAAGGCCAGTGCTGTGATGGCAAAGAGCACCCCAAAGAGCACAGCCAGCACATCCCCTGCAAACCAAAACACAGGCCTGTTAATGCTGGGGATGGTTCCCTGCAGCGACTGGCTGAGGGAGATGGGGCAAGGCTGGAGCAGGCCGGTAGCCCAAAAGAAGAAGGGACAGAAAGGCAGCGGCATCAGCTGAGCACGCTTACCTGCGTGAAATGAAGAGCTGGAGTGTCCTTCTGCAAAGGAGACAAAGATGAGGGGGTGAGAGCAAGCTGCACGGATGCTAGGGCAGCCCTGCAAACCCGCCGTGGCTGCCTGCCCCCCAGCTCAGCCCATGGCTGTGAGGACCCCCCTGCCCAGGCAGGTACACCCCCCAGCCTCCTTCCCCGCCTTTGGGCCAGTCCCTCACCTACCTGTTGATGCTGAGCTGTCACCACCTGGAAGAGAGACAGCACAATCAAGAAGTTGCCCGAGGTGTTCGGGGAGGGAAGGGGCAAACCTGCAGGGCTTCAGCTCACGCTGCCAAAGTGGGGCTGCCTGCAAGACTGCCCACCGCCCGTAATCAGGCAGGGGAGAGCTGCCTGCCGGATCCCCAGCAGCTCCCAGCATCGTGCTGTGGGAAGCCTAGCCCTGACACCCTGCTGGAAGCATCGAGGCAAGAGATGGGGTCGGACAGGGGAAAAAGTATCCCTAAGCCACAGCCCACACAAAAGCCTGGCTGAGCCCAAACTGCCCCATTGCTGCTGCCACTGCCTGGGAAGCAGGCGGGGGGGGGCCGAGCACTGCAGCACCCCAAACCCCACAGGAGACCCTGGGGAGGGGCACAGGGTGAGCCCAGCAAGCAGTGACCGTGGGGGACAGTTGCCTGCAGCGAGATGGCCAGCGGCTCCCCGGGGGGAGGCAGACAGCCGCTGCTGGCAGGGCACCCCGCGTGGGGATGGCTCGGTGGCCTTACGTGCTGGGCGGGAGCTATGCTGGGCAAATATTTACCTGGCGTGACAGCGTGGCTTTTAAACAGCTGCATTATCACCTGTACACGGCTCGGGTATTGCGCGCAGAGTGGCACTATCTGTGGGACGTATTCAGCTGCGCAGCCACGGCGGGGAAGCCGCCGCCTTCACCCAGCAACCAGGGGCAGGAGCGGCTCTCCTGAACTGGGGGTGACTGGGGAAAGATCAACAAGCGTGGGCGCAGGAGGTGCAGCTGCAAGCGAAGCGAGATGTGACCCCGCAGCACTCCATCTTGGTGCTCGGTGGCTGCAAGGCTAAAGCAGGCAGCTATCAGCACCAAGGCGGGGAGAAAACCCCAACAACCTCATGCATGCAAGATAGGGGACCAGTAACCTCATCCGGGAGTATTGGGACAGTGTCCTGGCACGCCAGGAATATGGGCTTTGTGGCTTTGTTAAAGTGGGTGTTGCTGGATAGAAATGGCAAATAAGGAAAAGAAAAAAAGGGTGAGCTGGGCAACTCCCCCCCCGAGCCCAGCCTTGGCAGCTGGAGGCTTTGGAACAGCTTCTGCATGAAAGTGGTAAAAGAAAGGCTTGGAGGTAAATGGAAAATATGATAAAGTATCTAACAGGTTTACCAAAGATAGAGCATGCCAGCCTAACCCGATATCCTTCTTTGATAAGTGATATTCTAGACAAAGAAACTGCAGTAGATTTTATCTCTCCTGACTTCAGTGAAGCATTTGATGCAGTGCCACGTGGGAAACTGCTAGCCAGGCTGAAGACCACGGTGATTAAAAGCCTGTAGCTGGTAGTGAGCTGGCTGCAGGTGGGACGGTGAAGGGAAGTGCCTTGCACCACGGTGTGTTGTTACCAAGGCATTGCCCAGGGGCCTGGGACTAAGCCTGTGTGCTGTTTCTATTAGTCACCTTGATACAAGGTGTAGGAAATGCCATCAAAACAGAAAAGGAACAGGATGTTGGGACAGAAAAACCCCAGTGACCTCAGAGAGCAGCAACAGGCAAGAATTCAGTGATGCAGAGTGATAGTCACACCTGAGGATTAGCAGGAATTTCTACTAATTGCTAGAAACCACCAATGCAAGAAAGACCTTTGAGGACAAACCGAGGACGGCCAGACAGGCATGCCTCAGGCAGGGTTCTGTGTGCCCAGCCAGGATGGCTGCGTGGCCCCCAGCCTTCAGGAGGGGTCCCCTGCACTGTCCTTCCCGCAGGGCTTGGCGGTGGGGTTCTCGCTGCAAGCCTGTACCTCCGCAGCTCCTGCTGAATTTAGGTATTGTGTTTGGGGATGAAGAAGCTAGCTGGGATGCTAGGACCTTGACCATACACATCCCCTGGTCCCACTACTGTTATTTCTGCAAGACTGAGGATAAAATAGTTCCTAGAAACTGATCTTCCCCAGGCAGGGTAAGAGAAGTGCAGAAGTGGGGGAGAGCAGGACCCCAAGACCAGTGCTGTGGGGCTACCCCATGCAAATGCGTTTCTGTAAGAGAGTCCAAGCCTTGACTCCCGCTCCTGACCCCATCTCTGCATCCCTGCAGCTGGGTGCAGCCTAAGCACACTCACGTGCTCCTTACCAGTAGGCAGCTGCTTCGCTGAAGAGAGGGTGGTCGGGAAACTCGCCAGCACCCGTCGCCCGTGCATGTCCTGCACAGGTCGGTAATTGTTCTCCAGAGGTTTGCTGTCGTCATTTCTCAGGCTCATCACCAGCATTGACATCTGCAAGGAGAACGGCATGAGCAGAGCAGGGTGCATCCTGCTTTCGGGAGCCAGGTGAGCCCCAGGGGACCAGCACCAATGGTGCATGCTTGCAGGGAGAGGCAAGACCCAGCGTGGAGCTCCGTGCTCTGACAGACCTGATCGTGAGAGAGCAACATGGTCTGGTTGAAGACTGTCCACTTCACCGTCTGGTAGCAGGGTGGGGTGGTCAGAGAGCCGTTGTAGTGAAAGTAGAGTTTCAGGTTGGCAGGCAGCAGACCTGCAATGTTGAATCCGGGCACCAGGACTTCCTCACCTGGGAGAAGAAACACCATGGGAGTGGTGAGACCAGGGCAACCCCTTGGAGGACAACAGGCAGGACCAGCACAGAGATCATGGGCAGCCTTGCACTGCAAGTGCCAGGGTCCACAGTGCTGCCACTGTGCACTGGAGAAAGAGCAGAGGGTTTGCCCTGGAGGCAAAGGAAAGCACGTGTGAGCAGAGGGCACCTTGGAGAGCTGTTTCTGTACAAGCTGTGCAACGCTCCCCTTCTCACACACACACGGCAAACGCCTGCGGCAGCCACTCTCGGCTGTGCAGCGGGTTTCTCTGCTGGGCTGCAAACCCCGGGACAAGTACTAGGTGGGGCAGGGCCTTACCTTCTCTTTGGATCTTGTACAGATGCTCAAGTATTTCCTGATAGTATGGGTTCTCCCTTGGCCCAACCTGCAACACAGAGACCCCATGGTAATGGCAGTGCCAGCAGGGAAGTGTCGCTCCCTGTGAAAGACATCCTATCCCAGTGACTCCTTCCTCCTACCAGGACAGCTCTGCCCTCTGAACTGCCCTCTCTCACCCCTTCTCCCCAGGAGCATTTGCACCTTTGCCAGTCCTCAAAACTGTGCCTGACTCTGCCTATCCCAGTCCCACCCTCCCTTTGCTCCTACCCCTTCTCGCCCAGGGCTGATCAATGGGACTCACCTCCAGGAAGGCTCCTAGTACAGCCAGGCCATCTGGGTGGACCATTGCCTCCTTAAAGCTGTCATACTTGGTGTTGTAGTGGACCACGTGGATCTGGAATGGAAACATGCAATCCTGATGCAGGATGGGCACCTCTGGGAGGTGCTCACCCCCACAGGGCTCTAGCCTGCTGAAGCAAGGGCTGGGAGAGACATGCACTTGTGACAAGCACCCCTTCTAGGAGGGGGAATATGCTGGTGGGACCAAGAGAATGTGCTGCTGCAAAGCAGGAAGCGTGAAGGTCTGCCTGCAGGAACTTCCCTGGTCGCGCACAGCAAACCAGCACGCTGCCCTAGATAGCCGGGGGTCATACTTCAGAGCCAGGCTCAGTCAGAGGACAGCAGCTAGAGAAGGAGAGGTAAAACCAGATGGGAGCTGGCCGAGCAGGAGGACAGTGTGTACAGAGTAAACAGTCCCCGCAGCTCCCAAAGCAGGCTGCTCACAGCCGCCCGGGGTGCTGGCTCCCCCAGCCCGGGGGTGGCCGCAGCTCCTGCTCCGTCAGCCCAGGTCCAGGCTGCGGTGCGGGGACAGGCTGCACCACTGCCAACGCAGCCAGCCCCAGCCCACTGCGGGCACAGCAGCTTGGAGGGTGGTCTCCTCGCCTCTGCACCGCAGGCTGCAGCGTGAGCCTGGCTCAGCACCAAAGCTGAACCTCCTACACTGAACTCTGCTGCTGCAGAGCTGCCCGGGGAGCAGGGGTCACGGCCACGGGTCACAGCATTCATCCAGTGACAACCAGGGACACGGGCTAGGAGCAAGACAGCACTCCAGCACCTCCCCTGCCCAGCACCAGGAGAGGAAAGGATGCACTCACCACCTCGAGGGCTCCTTACCTCCGCAGCAAAGCGGTGCCCGTTGACGGTGTGCTCGGAGCCGGGCCCCGATGGGGAACCCCAGTGCAGGTGCAGCTGCACGGCTCGGTACTGCTGGGCATAGCCGCCAGTGATGGCCAGCGACTTGGGCAGCTCAAGGAGAACTGCAGAGGCAGAAGGAAGAGGTCAGTCAGTAAAGCACAAAGGCCAGTCCATCCCACGGGTACGCAGAGGAGATACCGCGAGGGAAAGGGTCACCCTGGGCTTGTGGAAATCAGTCACAACAAACAAACTTGCTTTCCACCTTTCCTGAGGCTACGGGCAAGCCAATACCCAGAGCTGTGCCAATGCAGCAGGGTTCAACTTTCAACTTCAAGGTGCAGGACACCTCAGTAAATACATCAGCTTCAAAAATAGCAGCTATGAAAATGCTGGAAAGTGAAGAGCCCCTCTTCAGAGACTCCCAGGGGCCAGCTCCAAGCCAAATGTTATCCAACAATTTATGCAGCAAGTGAGAAGAATATAAAGAGATGGTGGACAAAATTCATGGAGAAAGATATTGGCAGAGTGGTGAATACCTATGAGAGCAGAGCAGTTGGACAGAGAGCTGAAGCACTTGGCGAGCTGCAACCTGTCACATAAATCAGCCTGTGAGTATCTGACAGCACTGGAGCTGGCAGCACGGAAGCATTAAATCTTTTGAAAGCATTTAGAGCTAAAATTTTGCCGCTTTGGATACGGTAAATGTATACTTGGTTTTGCCTTTTACTTTCACGTGGTTTAGCCAACTATCTTGGACTTATGCAGCACTGTGGCAAATCTAAAAGCTGAGCTACCTGGACACGTGGCAATAATATCAGGAACATCCCTCCACCTGAGAAAGGTTGTCCTATCCTTCTAAGTACCTTTTCCTCATTTTTAATATCAATTCTTTTCCTTCCTCCTTCTTTATAGGTGAAGTGTCCCTTAGTCACATCACAGAGCTAGGGCACAGATCCAGGATTAACCATGTAACAGGGCTGTGATGAGTCATTTGTCCTCTCCTGCATTCCCTGCCACTGGGTTCAGAGATACAAAACTCAAGTACGGGAAGTGGGAGACTGCTCCCTCCCTGGGAATTTGTACTAAAGAAATGTAAAGGCAGACGTCTAAATGATTGCATTCCTTCTACTAGCTACCTGAGTCACTTTTCAAGCCTTGAAAAAGCTTATACAGTATAGATGCTTTATATTACAAAAAGGAGTGACTGTACAAATATCTTACTGGACTTGCAACTTTTTATTTATTTATGGCTTTTCATAAAGCAGGCCAGTAGTTGACAGAATAAAAACCAACATTTTATAAGCATGTGAGAAACTACTTCCCCACCCCAATGAAAATGCTCTGACTGCTTTTCTAAACACCAAGCAACACCAGATGCCAGGGTGTTTAAAATAGCAACTACTGAGCTCAACTAGTGTAACTCTGCAGGCACGCTAGGGCAGGAGGCCATAATATAAAGCTCTGTGCATGTACTGCGTGGCTGATCAGACCATGCACAGCGAGTCTGACCTGTTGAGTTTGCTGTATACACAGGTCAGCTCCATCTCATTAGCTACCAGGGCAAGGGGGTGCCTTATCACATTGTCAGCGAGTTTAAGTCCCTTTCTCCACCACCTTTTCTTAGCTCAGCAGACACCAGCGTGCACAAAACACTCAACTTTCTTCCCAAAACAGCTGGTAGCAACCAGGACCCACCATCCCCTGCTGTGGGGTGGTGAGCAGGAAGGAGATCTGGTTTTCTTCTATATCTGGCATAGTGAGACTGATACTAAAATAATGTGAATAAGTTGTGTCTAGACCTTCCAAAAAGCATGCTAAAACTAGAGAAGGGAAACAAAAGACCAAGAAAAATTTCTTAAGGTCTTGAGATAGCATCCTGAAGCACAGACTACAAGAAGTTGGCCAACATTGTGTCCTAAAAGACTGAGAGGTAGGTACCTCGAAGGCTAAGTCACATCAGAGACTGACTAGTCCTTTGAAAGTGAAATGCAGGGGAGGAACAAGTGGCTGCCAACCCACATCAGAAATACCAAGGATACATTTTTAAAGGAAACGTGGGTTTTAACAAATTCCTAGAGCTAGCTCCCAAAGGCATTGAGTGGCAGGTTCTCCATGTCCTGGTTTCTCCCCTTCAGCCAGGACAGCATGTGGACATGTGAAAGCTCAACAGCCTGATGCTTCCTATTCGGCCTTGAAGGCAACATGACTGCAGCCTGCAAGAGAATTCCTTTCCCAGAGCCCAGGGAAAGGATGTCAGAGAAGCCTGGTCTTGGCAGGAGAGGCTGAGCAGGCTCTGCTTGTGCTCCAGTCTCTGCCTGTGCCTTTGCATTCACCTGTGTGCCCGTTGTTCCTCAGCTTGAGCCTCTCATTGGCAGGCAGGCTGTAGCCAGAGAGCTGGATCGGCCGCAGCTGGGGGCTGAAGATGGTCTTGGCTGTGTCGATGTTGATGGGCGACTGCATGGTCCTCACACAGTCCGGGTAGTCCACACCCCAGCGCTCCCGGTCTGGTACAAGAAGGAAGGGAGGGAGTGCCAGTGAGACCGCCCAGGCAAGGAGCTCACCAGAAAGGAGGTTTGGTGGGTGGGTGGTGGGGAAGGGGACAGGCACTGGTCAGGGACCAAGCCATGCATGTAAGGTTAGTTTCCATCAAGTTAGCTTGGGAGCAGCTCTGTGCCACCACGTGACTGCATGCAGCTGTATCAGGAAAGGTCTCTGAGCGTGGTGAGCTGCCAGGGAAGTCTATTTTTGGGGTGTTTGGAAAAGTGCGAGAAGATCATTTACAAGTGGACTTGGCAAGCCAAGGAGCTGCTGCTCTGCAGCTCATCACATGCTTGTTGCCTTGCACAGCCTGGCCTCTGGCAGGTATCAACCCACCACACGTCACCTGCACTGCTGCTCGAGCGAGGTACCGGTGCTGCTGGGATCCCATGAGCCGGCAGCCACAGGTCTGATGGGTTCCCAGCTCTTAACTGCACTGGTACAGTCCTCCAAAGGGTCAGCTCACATGGCTGGTGTGGCAGCTTAAACTGCCATCTTTTCCCAGTGCCATAGCTGGCATAAACACACCCCAGATGGCACCCCAGAGACCTCCCCTTGCACTGCAGAGGGCTGCTTCTAGCACATCTTGGGCCAGTGCAAACTTGTCTCCAATCCAGCCCCTCGCAGGACCCCTGTAGAGATGGAGGTGGGCATAAGCAGGTCCAAACCTGTGCTGGCTCCCAAGCACAGTGATGATGCTGGGGCCTGTCCCACCACTGCAGCGGGAAGGGATGCGTTTGTGCTAACACTGCAGTAATGCCCATCATGGGGGCTGTGGAGAAGCCCTGCAAGCCACGATGGGAGGACAGGGCCAGGCAGGATGGGGAGGGAGGGTGACAGAGGACAGAGATGAGGGGACAAGGTAATCCCTGGGCAGTTCAAAGTCCCAGCATGGGCTGCAAGTCCAGCCCGGAGAGCCCAGTTTGCTTCCCGCCTTGGCACAGGATCAGGGGAGCTCCTGTTCAGGCAGCAGTCCTGCCCGAGGGGCATCCCCTCACACCCACGGGGCTGGGGAATCCCTCAGCAGAGCTGCTGCTTCCTGCTCACATCAGAGCAACCCCCAGCTCTTCAGCCCATGGGTGCCCAGGTTCGGGCACCACTGAAGCATCAGGGTCAGGCAGGCGGGAAGGGTGAGCCGCAGAGTGCGCACAGGAGCCCTGTAATCATTAACCATGGCTGGCTCAGGCCCAGAATCTGCCAGGTGGTAGGAGAAAAAGCAGGAGTAACTGCAGGGTATTTACCTTCATAGCTCCAGTGACTATGGCCAGGACCTTGGGAAAAAAAAAAAAAAAAGAAAGAGAAAGAAACACATGAATGGAAGGGAAAGGTTGGCAGCAAATACACTTCTGCCAGGCAGTGTTCCCAGCCTCAGCAGCAGGTCTCTGGGCTCCCACTGCCTTCAATCCCCCTCCCTGCCTTCACTCTCCCAGTCTTCCCCCTATCCCAGTGAGGGAGATACTCCCAGATGGCACTGCCTCCTCTGAGCACGGCCAGGTTTCCTGGAGTTGTTGGCCAGAGGGAAAACTTCAGGACTTGACGTTTTGTTATCATCCTTATAATGGAAAAATCAGAGATACTGGCTTCCGTCACTGAGCAGCTGTACCAGTGCTGTTGCAGCAACTCCGGCGCAGCCAGAACGTCCCACTGTCCCAAAACAAACCACTTAACGAGGCAGGTCTGCAGCTTCCCTGTTTGGGCTCTTTAAGCAAGAGCAGCCAGGGAAGCTGCTGTTCTGGTGGCATTCCTGCAGTGCTGCAGCACTGGAGAGGGTGTGCGGGAAGAGCAGCTCCCACACCACGAGGAGTTTGGGCAGCAAGCTGCATTGCACTGCGCAGACACCCTCCTCCCACCAGAGAAAGCAGCCCTGGGACTCACAGCAGAGGAAGCAAACCAGCACGAAAACCTTGACTTCCTCATCAATACGTGCCCCTACCGTGGGGGCAGATAGCCTCAGGAAAATGTGCCAGACCAAACACCCAGCTCCCGTCTCAGCAGCCCCCTGCCCCAACTCACTCCACCACCCAAATTCCCATGCAGAGTTGCATAAGGGTCCGACCACGCACAAACCCTTCCCTAGGAAAGGCAGAAGGTAGGATGGGGGAGCCCGTGTCAGGATCTCTGCTTGTCCCATGTCACCCACGGAGCACACAGTGGCCATGACAGGGCAGGATGTGCCCTGGTGCGCCCTGAGCCACCCATGGCTGGGGGTGTCCCCAGTCTGTAGATCTCGAGGGAGCAAACCCCTCCTGGGGCAGGTCCTGAGGGTACGACACTGCTCCACACACCAGCCCTTGCACCGTCACCCTCCTCCAGAGCTGCCAGCAAAGCCCAGGCTCCCAGCATGTCACTGGAGCTGGCCTTAGAGGTGCCCCAGCACCTCTTCTCCGATGCCCAACCAAACGCCTTGGCTATCACCAACTCTTCTGCATGCAACAAGCTCCCAGCAAAGGGATGAGGGGCTTGGATTTGCTGCAAGCAGAGAAACATGGCCCGTAAGGATTATGCCCCTGCCCTGACTGGCACAACAGGTAAATCATGGGCTCCTCCCCTGACCTGTGCTTACCAGCGTGCTCGTCATTGCAGACAGGCTGTTGGCACATCCCAGTCCACAAGGGCAGGAGTGGAGGATGCCAGGTCAGGACAGGGTTGGGACAAAGGGGTACATGCACCCAGCAGTACGGGGCAGCATTTACACCCGCTTCCATCAGCTCCCCGGGGTGCAAGAACACAGAGGAGCATTTAGCAGGTGCAGTCCATCCCTGATACCATCTCTGTCCCTCGGGAGGGCCAAACGCCTGCCAGCCTGCCCGGGACGCAGGAGGGGCTCAGGCGCTGCTCCCATCCCCATCCCTGATGTTGACAACAGCTATCGACAGCCACTTGCTATTAATAGGAGCAGATTCCAGCTCAGGGGTGAGAAAGGAAGAAGCACGCTTTCCCAGGCCCAGATGTCCTATGCGAGGCCCCAAGCCCAGTGGGATCCTTCCCTCCTCCCAGCAAGGATCCAGGCCTGGGGACCTTTGGTGCAGCTACTGTCCTGGAAAGCAGATGACCACAGCAAAACTGGGCTGGGAAGGGCTGGAGGGTGCTTAGGGGCACCAGGAGTTGCAGAGATGGGAACAACCCTCGGGGCTCCCTCCAGCATTGCTGGTGACTCATCCCTACAGCACTTCTGACGCTCAGGAGCCACGCTCTGGAGTCACTTGCTCAAGCACTGGGCACTCCCAAAGACATATAAAGAAGGGGCAGAAAGCAAAGAGCTGGGCAAGCCATGGCTACCTGCGTCAGGCAGGAACACACGTGCCCCGGGACAGGCTGCAGTGCCCTCTCCATGCCTGTTTGCATGGCACTGCCTTGGGATGCACCCAGCTGTGCTGCACCAAGCTGAGATTTATCCCTCCCACCTTGCTCACACAAAGGCTACCTGCTCCCCAGACACTGATTATGCACTAAAATCCAAAGTACACCAACCCTCCTCTAGAAACAGCCCGTATCGTCCCCCACCCTGTCCCCTCTCTCCTGCCTCACCTGGCACTATCTGTGTGAGGTGGTCATGGCTTGCACACAAGAGCCACGTTTGCTGCTTCCTACAGCGGGATACCCCTTCTTCAGCATGAGGGTGCCTATCAGCATGGGGAGCCCCCCCCGAGGGGCAATCACATTGGGGCAATCCTGGCACAGGTAAGGCAGAGCAGCCCGGATTTGGCATGTGGTGCCTCGGCTCATTGTACATGCCTCAACCAGCATGGCCCGCCCCAGCACCCCACTGTCTTTCTTTCTGCTCACCTCCAGGGAGTCTGCCTTGACAGAAAGCAACTCAAACATCACATCATAGGCTGAACAATAGCACCGTGCTGGCACCTGCCCTGCTGTGTCAGCACTGTGCCACCCACCCCAGGCTCCCATGTCACCCCACGTCTGCCTGTTCCCACAGCCAAGGGGGCTCCAGACCCTCCTCGCAGCCTCCCGCCAGCTCAGCTCAGCAGCTTTGAACACCCTAAAGGCTGCAGATGCACCCAAGAGTCAGTCTGATCCATCCCAACACAACAGACTTCCTCAGGGATCTCTTGGCATCAGAGCCAAGAGGACCCACCAGAACTTATCCACGCACTGAAGCCACCTGAGAACATTTCCCCATCCCGTGAACCTGCGCGCAGCTGCGGCATAGCTAGGCCACCCACTCGGGGAGGCATCTCACAAGCCCAGCTGTGCAGGGATGGTCCCCCTTGGCACAGGCACCGAGTGGTGCTGCAAGAGAGGATCGAGGCGAGTCCAGTCTGGGCACCGCGTCGGACTCTCAGCATCTGCCCCGGTCTCAGCACGGCTCGGAGGAGCCCTGCAATACTCCAGTCTTTTCCACGTGGGGGCATTCGCAATCTCGCAGCCCTTTGCCATGAACATTAACCCACTGCCCTGCCCAAATGTCAATTTGCATAATTTCAGGCTGCCTCCCACGCTCCCCGCTGGAGCACGTCTTCTACCTCGGAAAGTTGTGTGGTGCCAGGTCTCCTTTCTGCTGAACTGCTGCCACTCACCACAACAGACGTGGCTGCACCTCGGCGGTGGGTGCTGCAGCTCTTTGCGTGCCCTGCCCTACCTCTGAGCACCCACAGGTCCGGGAGGGACTGCAAAGCACTCCCAAGAATGTGGAGGGGAAACAACCTTGCTGCTGCAAGGAGCACACTTGGGAGATAACGTGCAAGAAGGACTCCCAGCAGGAAAACATAGTAAGGTACCAACAGGAGCTGCCTGCCCTTGTAGGGGAGAAATCCTTCATGCTCAGCCATGCAGAGCCCCTCCAGTCCAACTGAGCACTAAACGCCACTCCCCTTCCCCCAGCAGCCTGCGATCCAGATGAGTTTCCCCCTTCCACTTGCTCCCTCCTTCGTGCTTTTTCCCCTGTTGCTCACTCCCTCTTGGCCCTCCCATTTTGGGATACTGGCGCTGCCGCAAGCGCCAGCTCCTTTCCCTCCTTGACATCCAACACCATCCAACAACACTTTCCTGCCGCGTTCAGGCGGACGCTGCCATTACCAGCGTGCTGCTCGGCATGTCCCGCAGCCTGGGAGGAAGGGTAGGAGCAGCTTTCGGCAGGGTGAGGAGCCAGCACAACCTCAAGACGCTAATAATCCCACATAGGAAAGGCACCAATGCAGCAGGCTTTCTCCCAGGAAACATCACCACAGGATGGACCATGCACCCAAGGGACTCAGGAGCATTTGCACAGAGCAAGATGCACCCTTCGGCAGAGCCAGGCAATAGGGAGGGAGACCAGAGGGTCTGACCCATAGGTCTGCCCCCTCCATCCTCAGTTTTTGACATTTTAGGGGGTACCAAGCCTGCAGCTGCTGCAGGGCACCAGACAACGCTGAAACGCGTGTGCCATTCACGGCGTGGATGCTGCCCAGTGGCAACGTGGCCATCGCTGCCACCTACTCACCTTGAACCCCAGCAGAAGTTGGATGGCTTGTGTGTGGTGGGCAGGGCAGCGAGCTCGCTTCTAGCTCAGACATCCTGCTCTCTTACCAGCTGGGCACATGATGCACTGTGCTGGGTCACAGGGGTGCACTGGGATCCTGCCAGAGCCTCCTCTTCCCAATAAGCCCAGTTCACAGGGGATGCCAGGGCAGGACCACCTTGCTGTGCCCACGAGGAAGAAGCCCTGTCTACAAATCAGTCCCAGGCTCTCCACCGAGAGACCAGTGGAGCCCATGGCCCAGAGAAGAGGGAAAAAGCGGTGTTATTCCCAATGCTCAGTGAGCCAGGAGGTACCAGGATGTGCAGAGATACACAGAGTGCAGGTCCCAAAGCAAGGGACCAGCCACAGCATCCAGGCTGAAGCCTACAAAACATATCCAAGCACCACGTCCCTTGAAAGCAATAAGCTGATCATGGTACCCAGGCTGTGCCACTGTGCTCACACTGCCCACAGCCAGCTCCCCAGGCCAGTCTGTGGCAAGCACGTCGCAGGCACGGGGTCTGGGCAGCAGGGTGCACAACCCGAGCATCCTTCTGCCAAGCCCCATGAGCAGCCTCTCCACGGGAAGGCTGTGCCATCCCAGCCCTACCTCCACCAGCACAGCCCTGGTTTCTCCATCTAGACACACACCCTGTGAAACACCCATGTCCTTTCAGACTAGGACACCACCCTGAGCACTGCTCATGGGAGCACTGATCCCTCCCGACCCCGGCTGCATTAAAGCCCCTTTGTGTTTGTAAACTCTGACCCGCTGCAAGCCTTTGGGATCAGCCTTTAATCTGCCACGGGTAGCATAGGTCTCTGCAAGGATTGTTCTTTGTGCTCCTGGGGGAGGACTGGTCGGTCTGCAGCACCCAAGACTGGGCCAGCTGCCCCCCAGAGTGGCAAGGGTTTGGGTGGAGGAAAGCATAGGGCAGGCTTTACTCCAGGGCACATTTCTGCTTCCTGTGAACCCAGCTGTCCCAGCAAGTGCCAGGGGAAAGAGGAAACAATCATGGAGAGCTGCAGAGAAAGGGCCATCCCACAGAAGGGATAAAATCGGGGAAACCCCAGGGGACAGATCAGTGCTTGAATCTGGGGAATGAGATGAATAAGGGGTATTAAGCAAGAGAAATGGGCTCAGCTGGAGGAAAACAGCATCAGGGAATGAGCAAGAAGAGGACACGTAGAACAGGACAGGCCTGAATAGGAGGGAGAGAAGAAACAGGCTGCAGTGCAAAAGGGAGTTACAGTTTCCCTTAACACGGGACTCGGGACTCCAGGCAAACCAGAGGCTTCTCAGAGAGCAACCCCATGTCAAAGTCTCAGTGACAACATGCCCCTGGCTTGTGCTGAGTGCCCAGGGCTGGGGGGCAACAGCCCTACCTTGTGCACAAGCCTCAAGGAAGAAAGAGCCAGCACATCACTCGGCAGCAGTGCCACGCAGCTTCTAGTGTCTGGCAGGAGCCTTGGTGGGTCTCAGTCAAGACCTGCTCCCTCACAGGACCCCAGACAGATCTTCAGCCTCTTACACCGTTACAGCATGGGCCAGGCTGCCTGCTTCCTACCTCCCTCCCTGCCACTTCCCATCCTTCCCCTCATTTTCCCATCTCCATCCCGGTCTCCCCACCCACTCTTCCCGATCCCCATGCAGTGCCCAGACTCTTGCTGCCAGCGCATCACACCAGTATGCTGAATGCCTGACGCCCTCCCACCCTGTGGCCTGGGTTACTTCTTCTCTCTGGCAAGGACCATCTGCGTCCCCATCTCTGTCCGGTGCTCAGCCCGGCGAGAGCGGCTCTAGTAAGAAATGTGATTCACTGCAATAACAAAAGCAGCTCCTGGCACCAAACAATTTCTGGTCATACCACAGGGCAGCAGTCCTGGCACAGGTCAGAGCAACTCCGTACCAGAGGCAAAACCAAGGACATGCTATGAGGCTGAGCCCGGGAAACAAACCCGCAGGCAGAGCTGGGACAGGGAGCGTGGCCAGGGACAGGATCATCCCAGTGCAGTGTTCAGCCTCACGCGAGCAAATGCATGGCACTGCCCCAAAATCACTGCTGAGCGCTGGCAGCGCCACAGTCCCAAGCCAGAAAAGGGACCAAGACCAAAGACCCAGGACTTTTCCCCTGAAATAGTGACCCTGAAATCTGAAAGCCCCCATGCCACCAGCAACACAGCTCTCAGGGTGAGGGCGGGGGGGGGGGGCACACACCACCCAGCCCACAGTTTGAGCATGTCCTCCATTCCCCACCATCAGCCATGGGGCTGACTCCCACCAACTCCGCAGCAGGGAAAGACCCCGTCCTCGCTGGGTTGTGGGGGAGCAACGTGGATGAGGGGCCAGGCACGGTGTACCCTGCTGGGGAGAGGCCACGCTGCAGGACAAAGGGGATCGGCTGCCGTCCCGCCACACCGGGGTCTGGCGTTGGACCCTCCGGGCAGCCCCAGAAAGGCACTGCTTGCTGCACAGTCCCGGATACCCCCTATACGAGCAGCTGTGAGCCCCCTAACTTGATTCAAAAGGGACTTAGTGGGGGAAAAGGGCTGCACACAAGGCAGGGGGCCCCAGCCCCTGGGCAGGGGTCGGGCCTCACAGGAGTTGGCGGGAGCGGGGACAAAGGCAGGAACGTGCTGGGGGGGGGGGCAGTTCCCGAAGCTGGGAGATGCTGGGGGGGTACAGCCTCCCAGGGGCACCCCACAGTGGCGCACACCTGGGCCCCTAACAGGGGTGCAGCACGATGTACAGCAGTCGTTCCCCACCCCCCCACCCCCCACCCCCAGTCAAGTAAAGGGAGACCTCCACAGCATTGGGGACCCCCCCCCCAAAGCTTTAGGCATCCCCAAAACAGCACGCCATGCGTTGCTGGCGCCCCATGCATCAGAGATCCCAAACTCAGCAAGGGGGGCGCCTCATGCATCAGGGCGCCCCACGCATCAGTGACCCCATCCTCAGTATTGGGGGTGCTCCATGCATCAGGATGCCCAGGCACCAGGGTCCCCAAACCGAGCATCCGGGGTGCACCGGGCACCCCGAACCCAGCAGCGGGGTGCTCCACGCACCGGTGCGCCTCGCATACGAGGACGGGACACACCACACACACACACACAAACACCCCCTGCTCACCTCTCTCCCGGGAGTGCGGGGGATCCTCTCCGCCGTGCTCCTGATCGTGCTCGCTGCCGGCGCCGGCGCGGCCCAGGGCGGCCAGGAGCAGCAGAGAGACCCGCAGCGCGGCGCGGCTCATCTCCGGCAAGTGCGCGGGTGCGGGGCGGGTGCGGGTGCGGGACGGCCGGCGGCGGCGGCGGCGGCGGCTGCTGCCCGGCCGCGCGTACGTGAGAGCGGGCGGGGAGGAGGCGGCGGCTCTGACTCACGCCGCCGTTACCTTTTATAGGGGCTGGAGGCAAAGTCTGCCGTGGCCCGGCCCGGCCCGGCCCGGCCAGGTGGGACGCGGGACTCGAACCGGGGATGTACCGGGGCCGGGGGTGGGGTTGCGCGGCCCCTACCCCACCCCAGCCCGACGGCGGCGTATGCCTGGGACCCCTGCGCGGGAGGCGGGGGAGCCCCGTCGGGTGAGCGGGCCCCTCAGCGGTGGGTGAGGGACCCCCTCAGCGGTGGGTGAGGGACCCCCCTCAGCGGTGGGTCAGGGACCCCCTCAGCGGTGGGTCAGGGACCCCCTCAGCGGTGAGCATCCCCTCTCCTCATCAGTGGGCAAGGGACCCCCTCAGCGGTGGGTGCCCCTCTCCTCAGCGGTGGGTGAGGGACCCCCCTCAGCGGTGGGTCAGGGACCCCCTCAGCGGTGAGCATCCCCTCTCCTCAGCGGTGGGTGAGGGACCCCCTCAGCGGTGAGCATCCCCTCTCCTCAGCGGTGGGTCAGGGACCCCCTCAGCGGTGGGTCAGGGACCCCCTCAGCAGTGGGCAAGGGACCCCCTCAGCGGTGGGTGCCCCTCTCCTCAGCGGTGGGTGAGGGACCCCCCTCAGCGGTGGGTCAGGGACCCCCTCAGCGGTGAGCATCCCCTCTCCTCAGCGGTGGGTGAGGGACCCCCTCAGCGGTGGGTCAGGGACCCCCTCAGCGGTGAGCATCCCCTCTCCTCAGCGAGGGGTGAGGGACCCCCCTCAGCGGTGAGCATCCCCTCTCCTCAGCGAGGGGTGAAGGATCCCTCGGTGTTGGGTGTCCCCTCAGTGCTGGAGTTGGGACCCCTCAGCGGTGGGTGCCCCTCTCCTCTGCAAGGGGTGAAGGACCCCCTCAGCGGTGGGTGTTCCCTCTCTTCCATGAGGGGTGAGGGTCCCCTCAGTGTTGGGTGGCCCCTCTCCTCAGCAGTGAGTGAGGGACCCCTCAGTGGTGGGTGTCCCCCCAGCTGTGGGCAATGGACCCCTCAGCAGTGGGTGTCTCCTCTCGTCAATGGTGGGTGAGTGGTGGGTGTCTCCTCTTAGTGATGTACAGCTGAGAAAAGCATTTCTTTCTGTTGAGGCTAGAAGATGATACAACTCTGCTCTGGGCAAAATTTCTTGGCTTTCTGCTGCTCCTCGGTGGTGGCGGGAAGCGTATGTACGTACTGTACCTGGATCCCAAAAGGCTTTGTACAAGGTCCTGCACCACATGTCCTTAGTCCATCTCATGCCATAGGTTGCTGGTCTCCATGGTTAAGCAGACAGGCAATGGAAGGAAGGATGGCAGGTCAGTTTTCAAGGGGGAGGGAGGTACCAGAGATGCCTTCCTTGGGAGCTGCACTGGGTCTTGTGCTTTTCAGCATCTTCAAAAATTGTCTGGAAAAAGTGCATGAGCAGCGATGGGACAGAATTAGCTGCAACACTAATTTAAGGCAGTAAAGGACTGAAGCTGCCTTGAAGAGTTCAAGGGGCAATAATGGTGATGAGTGACCAGGCACAGCAACAGCAGATTGCAGTTCATGTTGGTAGAGGCAAAGTGATGCATGGGTGGTGTAATCAACAATGGATGGCATGAGGGTGGATATAAATTAGCTAATGCAACGCACAGAAGAGATCAGAGAGTCGTAGTGATGTCAGCTCAGTGCTTGCCAAGAAAAAAAAAAGTGAAGTAAACCTCAGAGATTATCAAGAAAGAAACAAAGAACAAAACAAAAAAACCCTGTCCTGCTGTTGTATAAATCTTGGGTGAAACCTCCTCTCAGTTACTGCCCACAGTTTTGTTTCTCCCATCACAAAACAGTCAGAATCAGAAACAGAAGGCAAAGGGCCACAGGACTGTTTGGAGGCAGGAGTGGTTTCCACATAAGGAAGGAGCAAAGCAGGCATGCCTGCCCAGCCTGGTGAAGTGAAGTCTGTGCCCATAGCATGCCAGCTTGTACGGGATTGGGGAGCGGGGAATGAGGACTTACTCTCTCGGGATAGTGGATTTACGGCACAATCAACCAAAATCATCAAGCAGGAAGTTTGAGTCCAACCAGCAAAATATGTTTTCATGTGGTGCAGAAGGGAATAGGGGAACTCCTTTTCCCAAACATGCAATTTGTGCACACGCAAGAAGATACTGGACAAGTTAATGGACTGCTTGCGCTGTGGCACTGCCTGAGTCCCAGCTCTGTGCTGTGCCCCATGGGCCCCACGCCTCTGCTAAACCAGTTTACCCAGCTCTTTCCTAGCCCAAATCACTGGTCATCCCAGCACCTTCCTTTATGAACATGCTTAGCACAGCCTGTGTGAATACATCAACATCTACAGACTTGCCATCACTACAAGAGGCTTGAGACCTGTCAGGCAGTACAGAAGATCGTGCTGGGGCTGGATTTTGTGCAGAGAAGAAGCAACCTCTCCCGAAAAGCTGGCAGCTGGGAACACGGGCTGCTGACCCTGGGCAGTCTGGAACCATGGGCTCCTGCCCTTCGCTGTGCCAGAGACGTTCCCTCGTATCTGGCCGCTCCAGAGAGTCCTGTCTCTGGCGGTGACCTGCAGATAGGATCAATGCACTTTCAAACTGCAGACTTTATTCTCATTCACCTTGTTCCTTCCAACACCAGATAAACTGAACCAACAGATAAGAAGACATTTATTTATCAAGACTCAAGAAAACAGGACTGAGGGGGAGGAAATAAACCATAAAACGCAATTCCAATGCTCTTTCCTTCTCATGTTCTCGTGGTTTATCATATAAATGGTCTTTATCTTGAATGAAAAGGAAGCTGGATGTGGCAAAGGAAGGACAAGGTCAGTCTATCCCTTTTTAAGGACAAACCCCACACAGTTCCACCTCATACCTGAATATATCCCTTCTGTTTACTTCCCCAGAGAGGCTACCCTGCAGTCCCTGCTTTGACTCTGCACAAATGGAGTAATCGTGGAACTGTCATCTTTTCTGCCCCATCTTTCTTAGGTTTCATTGTCCTCCTTCTTCATTGCTTTTCAAGGCTGAGCATATCATATCACAGAAGCCATAATCGCACATGTCTTCTTTCCACCTATAATCTCTTATACTTTGTCAGCTTTTTTGTAGAGATGATACTTGGCAGCTGGGGACACTGTTAGACAGAAAGGTGACACCATCATCAGGGCACTTTGTCTGGATGTGCCTTCTGGGAATGCCAGGTGTTATGGATCACAGCCCCATCCCACAAGCCTTGCAGGCCAAGTGGAAGAGCACAGCGTTCATCCTCCGGTAAAAGGTTCACACCAATGTAATATCCTCACCAAAAGGAGTGCCCTGGGCTTCTCTGGTAGCCTTCTGTCAGAGGAGGTCTGGTCAGCCAGATTCAGGCCCCTGTAAGCAGCCCAGCTCTGTGCCCTTCTTTGCTATGAGGTATCTTGAAATGCACAGCATCAGACCTCTGCTCAGAGAAGCACAGATCCAGCATGAGGCACAGAGCACCAATGTACCAGGGAGCTTCTTCAATCCTCAGCAGCACAAGATGCTTCGGGCTGAGTTAAAATGGATGTGCTTCTGTACTGGCTGGTCTTTTAGCTTCAGTGCTGTGGGTAGAGATGACCTCTAAATGCTTGTAAAAGGGTTTATTCTCAGGAAAAAGATGTAATTCCCAGGAAAATTAACTCATGCTAAGGAAAGGCTTGGCTGTCTAGAATAACTTTGGGACTCTGGGCCTGTTTCAAATTTTTACCAGTAATCCTTTCCCACGGGATATACTAATGAATTCCTGAACTCTTTTGCGGGCTTATTGTCTATTACTTTTAATGTAACAGCAGCGGGCACTAGTTCATCAGTGCTGCTATTGTGCCTATTCACTACTTAGAAGTTCTCTGGATGACTTCCAATCAAAACCAGGCTGATCTATCCCATTCACCAAGGTGAATCCCAGACACCAGCACCTGCAGTTTGTATTTCGTTACTGGCGGTTGGTTAGAATTGCCTAAATAATAATCTTTCCTTCAAGGTGATATTAGACTCTGCCTTGCAACTGTTGCATAAAATGTCTCCTACCAATTGTTTTATTTTAATCTCTCTAGCTGTACATTCATTGTGCTGGTACCATCGTCCACCCAAGCCCTCTACCACCACACTGCATAGCTTATCTCCAGCAAATAACCAACTTCCCTAAGTGTAGGATGGCAATGAATATTTTGAGGTAAGCATGTTAATTATCTTGTTTCTGTCCCTTGATGTTCTAGGATAATAGTTCCTAACTTCAGAGTAACCCCAGCACCTGTGTTATGGGGCTCTAGACCCAGTATGTCCAAATCATGGTCTGCTCTTTCCTGTAACCAAGCTGCAGGGAGCAGGTAGCCAGAGGAGCCAGTTGGCCTGGGAGCTGCTGGACCAGGGCCACCCCTGTGGTATGGCAACTGCTTTGGTGCTATGAATTCTAGCAGCTCTAGTAGGGATGGTTTTAAAATATACGTTTCTGTGTTTCTACATGCAATTATAATGTATGATAATTACACATCCACTGTTACTTATTGGTAAAAACTTAAAAAAACTTAAAAATCTTAAAAAATGAGAAACTGAATTTTACTTTAATTTTAAGAGATTTGCTTACAAGTCTGAGTTTCAAAATATCAAAACTTCTGGAAACTAGAAATTCTGACTTCAGGCAAGGTCTGGACCCCTGTGTCAGCCTATTCCAGGTAGGCAAGCAACCTCCCCAACAGCTGCCAGCAAACACCAGCCCCAGCAGGATAAAAATGTGGAGAATTGGAGCAGGCAAACACTTCCAAGAGCACTGAGCAGCACTGAGATCTTTCTCGAGCAGTGAATAAGTCAGTCTTTCTAATTACAGTGAACAGAGTAAGATTTTACCTATAGCTACATACAAACTAGGACTGACGGCACTTGTCTGGGCACGGAGTCTGATCCCCCTGTGTTAAAAAGCAGCTACATGGCCTCCCTCACAACTTGATCAAATTGTATGTGGAGAGCAGCGGTTCTCCTCCTGCCCTGTACTTCCTTGGGCTTATTATAAAATGCCAGTGTTTATGAATCTTCTTTGATTTTTGTATTTATTGTTCCTATGTGAAGGC